ATTGAAGACATCTAACCTTTGCTTTTCCATGTCTAGTGGGCTGAAGTCACCTATACCTACCGTAGTTGCGTCTGACATCAAGCCTGCCCCACCTTTATGGGTTTGCTGTCGGCATGTTCAGCATATGCGGTCTCAGGCTATATCCATCGATATAATCCGGCCATGAAAGTGTTTTTTATCACATACGGTATCGACGAGACACATGGTGCTTCATATTCTAGGCGATATTGATCGATTGTGAAAAATGGGAAGTGCCAAATTGAAACAATTCATTCTCCACCCTAGGGCTGACACCAGGAGATATGTCTGATGTAGAGTACTTATCCTAAACGAGAAATGTGGTCCAAAAAGAGGAGGAAAAAATGAATAGAATTTCGAGATTTCCTTTTCAAATTCTATCCAGATCACTCTGTTAGTTTGATTGTTCTGACTATTGGAGTCCTTGTTGGAATAATGCACTCTCTAGTCTCGAGTCTCAAGAGTATACCGGCTTGCTGCATCAAGGCAGAAGTTTGATTCGCACAAATACAAAAAGGTTTCATTCTTGCGTCCGCTTGGGGCACATGAAGAACCGGATTTTTCAATTTATTTTTTTCGTATGAGCATGCATGTTTCCTGAAAATATGAATCATTATTCTGAGGGAACTCTGAAGGAAGGAGATCCACCATCAATATTCAATGACCAATCCCCACTTACGAGTAAATGTGAGTTGAAGCTTTATTGAGTCCTAAGTAGACGCAATGAGCTAAGAATACCTGCTTTTTGCAGGTCAAAACTTCTGCTTTGATGCAGCAAACCGAAATGATCTTGAGATTCTAGAGTAGAGAGGGTATCATTCCACCAATGATTCCAACAATCAGAACAACCATATTAATGAAGGGGTCTGTATAGTTTGAAAAGATAATCTCGATATTTCATCTGCTTTCCCTTCTCTTCATGAAATATATTCGTGTCACTCGGACCTGAACATTTCACGACAAATATCGAGGCTTATTCGCTTGTATTAGCCTGAAGGTGGAAAATTAATAGTTTCAATGAATTCCGTACTTCCGATTTCCTACAAAGGATTCAATATCCCTAGAGAATTAGTCAACATGAATATTACTAGAGTTTTTTTCCAACATTATACCATTACTTTAACGAAACGTGTTTCGATCACCAAGTGATCATCTTTAAGAGGAAGATCACTTGGTGATCGAAACACGTGTCGAGGTGTTAAAAATAACGATTTGGTGTTGGGAAAGAAACTCCACTAATATTCATTACTACACCAAAGGTCCCAAATAGTGCATCACAAGTAATTAGTCAACGTCCGTTTTAAGTCAATACCGTAAAAGTACCGCAGGTGATCCATAACAAAATTTGCATATTATTCCGGCACTTTTTATGTTTGAAAAGAAGGGTGGTGGTGGCAAGAATTCATTCATCTATAAAAAGTAGGACCAAAAAGTTAGAAAATATTTTCATTCACTAAACATTTTGTTATTCATTTCAGGTATGCGATTTGGTCTGATGCAAGTTAAGTTAGGCTTAATGACCATATTGAGAAAGTACCAAGTATACACTAGTACTAGTACAAGTGTTCCGTTGGAATTAGACCCTGACACATTTTTACTACATACCAAAGAACCCATTTATTTGAAGTTGAAAAAATTATAATACCTTTCATTTAATATATTCAAGGTTGAATTTAACTGTGTATTTATTGTTGGGATATAAAATAAAGGAAGATAGAATATTTACAAAGTTGGATTTTATGGACAGACGAGGCAACTTTTACGTCGAACGAAAGAGTTAGTTCTCAAAATTGTTGCTGGTGGTCCAACCATAATCCAAATTTTATTATAGAATGTCGTGACCAATATTCGTTTAAGACGAATATGTGGTGTGGATTATTACATAACCAAATAATTGGACCATATTTTTTAGGGAAAATTTGAACGCAGACATCTACAGAAATTTCATCATGAATCAGTTGTCTGAAGCTTTGGATAATCTGCCTCTAGGTGTTAGACAAAGTTTTGGTATCAGCTTGACGGGGCATCGATACACCAAACGGTAGAAATGAAACAGTGTCTCAATCAGATGTTTTGGAGCGAAGTGATAGGGCGATATTGGGAAGATTATTGGCTACGAAGATCACCCGACTTATCTCCGATGTACTTTTTTCTATGGGGTTATCTGAAACGAAAAGTGTATAAGCACAAACCAATTGTAAACAAAGAACATTTGGAGAACACCATTTGGGAGTGTTGTGCTAACATAAATCCTCTATTTATTAAAAATGTCACAAAATTTGTAAATGAAAGGACTATAATTTGTATAGAACGGGAAGGACGGCAAACTGAATGATTAATTCGGGTTCTTCAAGATTATTGAGATGAAACAATGAATGTTATGATATTTTGTTGTGAATTTGCTTGTGGTTATTTTGGTTTAATGTTATTTACATATCTACTGGTGACAATAAAGAATATAAGATTCATGGAATTAACTCAAGAAGCATTATTATTTGCCGGATAACTGTATCTAACAGTTTACATCCATCAGTAACATTGTTGGGTGTAAACTGCATCAAAATATTTCGAACTCCTCTGCAGCTAATGGGATACAAATCTGCTAAAAAAGGGAATACGAGGAATATGAGAATACGATTACTGACATATAAACGTCCATACATCAAATCAGTTTAACGATGAAATGAAAAAACTGTTAACAAAAACTGGCAACATGCCAATGCGGGTATTTTCTTGGCAAGCTATGACATTGAAGTATCGTATTCATCAAAATTATGAAATTTGAATCATGTTGTTCGAATCGATAGAGAAAATGATTGAGCAAGGGTATAGAATTGGAAACTGAGCAAATGTTTTTGTCATTTTTCGAAATTTCAAAAAAAAAAGATTTTTTGAGTATTTTCGAAAAATGTTAAATTTGACAGACTTGGAATAGCACATGACAAAAGAAAACAGGCTGTTTCTTACTCATTTTTCAACCACAAATCAAAGTCAAATTTTAATTTTATCTATTAATAAGGAAAACTTCCATATGTCGCGAAATTTATGTGTGACACTGTACATGTTTTCGTTGATTTCGGGCTGAACCGCGTCTGCAGTTTTGGTTCCGATTGTGAAGCCATTTTCAAAAAATTGATGTGACTTGACACCGGGGCCTCAATCTGCCTACCCTCCAGGTCTCGCCACGAGTTTCCTCAGATATATCAATCTGCTCACTCGTCAGATCGAACAGTTTGATCTGAGAAGCAGACAGATTACTGTGCAGAGTACAATAGACGGTTGGTTGAGAGTTGAAGTCACATCATTCTGACATTATGCCTCAAACTGTCAACTATGAACTGCCTTATACCTAACCTAGTAGAGAGGACTCGATTCTCTGGGAGAAGAAAATATCAAGAGCAGATAGTTGTTGATTGACAGATGGATCAAAACACTTTCAAGTTCTGGTGCAGATGTTTTCAGTCGCAAACCCAGGACAGAGATATCAATCTGCCTAGAGACTTATGCGACTGTATCTCAGGCGGAAATCTATGCTATTGAATTGTGTGCGGAGATATTGGTAGAATCCAGCCTCATACACAAGTCAATAAAAATATTCACGGTCAGTCAAGCAACGTTGAAAGCTCTTGGATCCTACTGAGCAACGTCTAAATTGGTAGCATTGCCAAAAACGGCCCTCCTCAATAGGAAGACTTAATGAATTGCCTCTGGTCTGAATTTTTGACCATACTGTCCTGGAAGGTAATGAAGCTGCTGACTTCCTTGCAAAGGAAGGTGCTGCAAGCAGCTTTATCGTACCAGAACCTGTCATTGGCATCGTTTTAGGCTTTGCCAAACAAATATTGAATACCTGGATGGCAGGAAGATTCGTGGACTTCTCTGGCAGAATCTTTCAGGATTGGCTCACTCCAAGGCGTTCATTCACCTTCCGAAGTTTGAGATCAAACAGTTGTTGGACTACAGTGGTGATGAACTGCGATGTCTAACAGGCCTTCTCATAGGCCACTGTTGTCTGAATCATCATAAGCAGAGACTCGGACTGTCGTAAGTCAGTGTGTCGCCTCTGTTTGGAAAATGATGAAATAGTAGAATAATCACACGTTAAAAGGTAAGACCTCGTTAGTCTTTAGCTCACACAAGTTTTTCAACTTCTGAGAGTTGACGTTCGTATGGGGGCGACAGCTGATTAACGGAAAAAACAGATTAAAAACAGATTAGAGAGATTTAAACATACTTTATGCCTGCCCCCCAGCGAACCGAATCGTTAAGAATATGGGTTCATTTGGTCGAGTTTGAAAGGTATGAGTTACAATATACCTTTGCGGGTTGCGGTGGAGGGTCGAATTGACCTACTCACTTCTGACCTAACCCTAACCTAACCTATATGGAACTCTATCATCCAAAATGGATTACTTCAAATATTTGGATTTAAACACCTGTATCATTACCTCATCAGCACCTTTTTTATAACTCCATTTCACCAGAAGAGAAAAATCTACTTGTCACGATGACAATACGAAAACACATACATATGCTTAATTGATTGAATAGAAATGTTGTTTGATGTGAAAGAAGTATAATTTTTTAGGCGAGATTAGTTTTTGAATTTTTTTATCTCTTTTCATTCCTCAATTTTCATACAGACATTGTAGAAAACGTCGCACCATCGTCTTTAAAATAAACTATTTTTACATGGATGTGTGTATCATGCGTAGAAGTTACTTTCAGATAGAAACTAGAAGAAATAGCCCAACCGAAACAAATACTTACATATAAATATTCATTTATACGAAAGAAAACGTGCATTCCAAACGAATTAGTCCATCGAATCATACGAAAATCACTTTATCAAGAGTTCTTATCAAGTTATATCCGGGGCCTAAAAAGTTTCCTAAGCCGCTTCTGACTACGGTTCAGATGTACTAAATTTTCAGTTACCTTGTTATCTGCCAATTCATATTTAATATTTGTTATTGCATAACATTGATATTGAATAACATTGAGTGACTGTTAAGTTCTCGCTTGTAGATGTTCACATCGCATTAGAGTATTAAAATTCAATAACGATGAACTATCTTTTGGAATTATTGATATTTTTAGTAACACTGAGTATATCAGTAACAATTTTTGTGCATTATCGATATGGATATTGGAAGAGAAGAAATGTACCTTATTTGAAACCCATCTTTCCAATGGGAAATAACACCTCCATTTTTCCCAAAGGAATATCCCTTGGAATTATATCCAAATATTTTTACGATGAATTCACGAAGATGGGATGCAAGATCGGAGGTAGGTAACTTTCTTTATCAATAAATTAAACTGTATATGTATAACGAGTCACCAACTAAGGGCTACATTCCCACTAAAAGCCATCAAAAGTCATTTCGAATATATTTATTACAAATGATTGCATTATTCATAATATCTTCATTACTTCATTATTCATAGCAGTTACCTGAAAATGATTCATTATTCCACTGCTTAAGGAAATATACTATAGTATATTTGTTTTGATAAGTTGTCTTCGTTCCAAAATCATTCAGGTTGAAAATAACGTGCAAGCTATTGGTACAGTTACAGTACAGTGGGCAGTTCAAAAAATGAGGTGAATGTTCAAATTTCGCGGGTTACTACATTTATTCAGCGATTTTTAATTTTTTTATCTTGGTACACTGGTCTTGAACATATACAGGGTCTTTCACGACGAGCGTTCGTTAGGAATATATGGCGAACGATTCAAAATAAAAACTTGAAATTTTGTGGTAGTGGGCTTTACAAAATAGCCTTCTCAACTAAAATATTTTCAACTTCCGGTCTTTTTCTGTTATACCGGAAGTTGAGGGCAACTTCCTTATTTTAAATGGAAAACCCTGTACACATTTTAGGCCCACTTTATATAACAATGCGTATACCCAAATTTGTTAGTTTTCGAGATATTAATTTTTTTCTGAAAAATTTGACAGTTACAGCACCACTCAGAAAAAATCATAACTCATAGACACTAACAGTTGAAAATGTTTTATTTCACAGAATCATACCGTAAGCATCAAGTCGTGAACAGGTTCATCGAATTTTCGAAAATAATTTACAGGGTGGTCGAAATTTCCACCTAAAACATAACATCGAGAAAACTTATGCAACACAGTTTTTTCAAATGCAAATCATACATTATTCTATTATTTTTGGATACTACAAAAAAAAGATATCAAATTCATGAAGAATGTCCTATACCTAGAATACATCCCTGGTAAGATATATCCGATTTTGGGAAATATTTGAAATGTAAATCATTCGAAGCAATACCTCAGTATGAAGTGAACGTCTACGATCCAAAAACTACAACAAAAAATACAGGTCCGTATTTAAAAATTCAAAGATGGGTAGCCAAGTCAGATAACACCATCTATAAAAGATTTATGGATATATTCTTAGAGCACATATCAAGTGCCAATAGCAAAATGTGGACAGATTTTCAAAATGTCTGCGAATAAAGAAGATTTAGGTAAAAAAGTAACTTGAGATTTTTTGGGTTTTCGTGTACATCTCCAGAACCAAAAGAGCTTTATTCGATTTCTTTACATCATTGAATAGGTCTCCATCGCAGAGTTTACATCCTCACTTTGTGGACGCCCAATTTTACCGCCAGTATTAGGTCTTAGAAAAGACTTGTAACAACTATCATGGTATTTAGCATCAGCAGCTACTTAGTCATATTCAAAATCAATACGACCAACGAGTAGGGTAATTCCAAGTCATAATGTTGCATAGTCGTTGGCTACTCAGCTTTTTAATTTTTTCTTGAGTTTCCGATTCAGGAGATATTGGCACAACTATTCTTGTTTCAGGTGTATTCTTTGGGATCGATCCGCAATTGGTTATCGTGGATCCGGACGTCGCCAAAGATATTTTAACTAGCGATTTTGGTTATTTCGTGGCAAGGGGTGTATACAAGACTTCGAGTGACCCCACAACTGTGAACCTTTTTACCCAGGATGGATTTGAATGGAGAACTGCAAGGGTATATGTTTCATTACCAACCTAACAAAAAAAAAAATCATCAAGTCGGAGTCGTATATGACTCTCATTAATTTTTTTAACCAGATAACTGATAATATGGAAAAATGTAATGAAGTCATGTTTAATTGAATAGAAGTGACCGATACTGGCCGATATCTATATTAAGACTAATTAATAGAGTTTTTACAAAAACCGCGACACGTGTTTCGTTATACAATAGCTTCCTCAAGCGGAATCTCTTGCTTACGTTCGAGGAAGCTATTGGCTCATTACGTTCATTACAAATTGAACAGCAAACGACAAAACTCCAATTTCAAAATGAGAGAATTTACAATACGTTCAATATTGTTATGTACAACACTGTACAACATTGTACTGGCTACATCTTTGAATAATTATTTATTGCAAGTGAAAAGTTTCATTTTCACTTACATAACAATTGAATTGTTTCACTGGAAAATGTAATTTTTCTTCCGTTCTTCAAGTTTCTGATGATAATTTTTTTGTATAATGTTCAAATGATATATGAACATTATACAAATTCAATCGATTTTTCAATGGATTAACTGGGAGATAAATGGAACGCCTTTTTACTTTTTATTGTCACAAATATTCATTCCTCAATTTATTCAAGTAACAATTTATTTCTTTAAATTTAATTGATTCATGCATTTGTTCGACACATTAAAAACGATTGTTCGCAAAATTTGTTCTATTTTAAACGACACTTGATTTAANATCATTAATTTTCAAGTATGTATCGATGAATATATATTTCAGGGATGATATCATATGATGAAGTGCCATTACATCCGTTCGTCTTTGACATAATCACGACGTTTCAGTGAAATCCCACTTGTGATCTCATCGAAACACCGTGGTAATGTCAAAGATGAACGGATGTTCACGTGTATAACACAAACTTCAACCTTGTTTGTTATAAACTGAACATAAATACACCATGAACTGACTAATGAGTAGACGTAAAATGAATACCCAAACAGTAATTAGTGCTTCCAAGCATGTATCCGCGTTTCTTACATAACAGTCAAAGATCATTTGACCTCATAATTATTTTCACAATATACATACTAAATGGGCTGAGAAGTGTCGGCCTAACACATAAATGACGCTAGTAGAAATTTCATGATATTCTATTCATAAGTTTGTGAGTTATCGTGCTAAGAGTGATACTACTTTCGTTATTTTCAAAACAATGGATCAAAAACAATTACGTGTTTTTATTTTACTCCATCAGAAACAACAATTTAACGTTGGTTTGCTGACTACCAACATGGTCGTTGAGACACCGATGATGCAGAAAGCAGTGGACGTCCAAATGAGGCAGTAATCCCAGAAAACATAAAAAATTCATAATATCGTTTTGAATGATCGAAAAGTGAAGGTGCGTGCGTTAGCTAACATTGTAAAGTTTAGAACCTGAATTCTGCCTTTTGATAAAAATGTGGGAGATATTACTTAAGAATTAATAATAATAATCGACTTTATTCAGTATTTAACATTACATAATAGGCGAAGTTCAGCTATTAGCTACTCTTACACTTAACCTAATATGCATTATAAGAAAAAAATTAAAAATAAGTGGACCAAAGAAAAATAGATTGTGTGATGGAACAATTTGTTATAGGAGTATACAACAAGATCATAGTTTAATGTATACATTCAATTCTTCTGATCACATATTGAATTTTGATTTTAGTTTCTTTTTGAATGTGGATTTCGAAAATTGCATGAGATCCTTAGTAATCGTATTATGAAAAATACAGCAAGGAAGGAAAATGATTGTCTGAGCATGGCTGACGAATGACGAGGGATGTGTAAGTTTTCGTTAGTTCGAAGGTTGCAAGGATGGAGCTCTAACCTCTTTGTCAATTTATTGAATAGAGAAACAGGTATTTTAGATTTCAGTACTGAATAGGTGATATTGCAGAAGTTATATTCCCTGAGAACGGACATTGATATCGAACCAAGATTGGCACGAGCTTGGGAAATATGTTCAAATTTACGTATTTCCAAAATGAAGCGAACACAAGAATTTTGCACACGTTGTATTTCGTACTGATTAGCGGAATTCAAGAAAGGACCATAGACAGGGTCTCCATAGTTGATTTTCGAAAGGAAAAGCGATTTTGAAAGTAGCTTTTTTGTGGACAAGGACAAACTCTGTCTATATGGATAAAGAGCTTTGAGAGTGGCATAGAATTTGATCATAAGCTGTTTTACATGTGCGTTGAATTTTAAATCTTGATCGGAAGTGATTTCAAGTTTTTTGCAGAGTCAACCGATTTGAGTATTTGGTCACCTATTTTTAGTTCCATATGATCTTCAGCATATTGTCTTTGGTTTATGTTGCCGAAGAATATGATATGGCATTTGCTAGGATTCAGATTCAAATTGTGTTTGCTCGACAGAGTTTTCATGACTTCAAGGTCATCATTTATTTGATTTTGGGATACTAAGATGTTGTTAGGTTCGATAATATGGTATAACTGGGTGTCATCCGCAAATGCTTGTACTTGACAATGCTTAATTTGAGAATGCTTAATTTGGACCAAGAATTGAGCCTTGAGGTACTCCTGATCTAACCCTTTCAAGGAATGAACTTCTATCATCAACAAGTACTTTTTGATATCTGTTGTTCAAATAATAATTGAAAAATTTCATGACATTAGCTGAACATCCATAGTATTTGAGCTTGGAAATTGTCATACCTACTACATCTTGTACTACATTTTGTCAATGAGATCAGTTATTATTAGTATTTTATACGAAAAAAGGGGACATGAAGGGTCCCTTAAACTTTTTTCCATAATAGTTGATTTTTTAACATCCCGTTAAGAAAATTACAACTTTTAAAAAAAGAAGAAGTGAGCGATAGATAGTTTCGTTCAAACATTTCCATTCAAGTGATTTCGTTAAATGAATTTCAAAATTTTGTGCTACAAGCGAGAAGTTGTAAGGATGCCCTGCAGGGTCCAATGTTTTTTTCACTTATTTTATTTCTCTTCAACTCACAGGTATAAATTACAAATTACACATAAAAAAGCATTGCTACTGAAATGCTCGATCAAATCAAAAATTGATTAGGGCTTTCTGATATATCGATAACAATATTATTATGTTTGTGCAAGTATTCTTTGTAAAAATGCAAAAAAAATGTATGGGATTGAAAACTTAAACGTTGCTGACCCGTCAAAATTTAGACATTTTTTAATTTCTCCTGTGGAAGCCCCAGGGTACTGCCCCCACCAGTCTTTCCCTAAATCCGGCCCTGGTTGGTTGCTGGCAACGTTTTGTTCGAAAATGTAAAGAAACTATTGGAAGGATTGATCAAATTCTTTAACGGATCACTGTGTAAAATTATTCATGATCAATTCTTCTGATAATAAATTCTCCTGAACTGTTAGCTTTGATAAAATTTAATATACCTTCTCGCAGAACCCGAACACTAGCTATTTTCAATATACTTCGATTGGTAACAACTACTAGGGCTAGGATTGGACTCTCTCACAAAGTGAATTTAGAAGCATTTGCTTGCATTATATCTTGGATATGAGTGTATAATGCTCTCATGTGTGCTGTTGCTGCATTAAGCACTTTTTTTCTTTTTAATATTAAGTTACAATGTTTAATTTATTCATGCAATAAGACCGATAGGTCTATTTGGATATAAATATATAAATGAATACATTTAAGTGAATTTGGAAGTTAGTTTCACCCATCTAACTTGTTCTCTGTGAAAAACCGTGAAGAATAGATTCACAGTGAATTTATCGTGAGGCTTAACTTCTGTGAATCAGATAATAACATATCCATGTTGAAGAATGAAATATAATTTGGAATATTTTATGAACAATTCAGTTTTTTTTTATTACGTAACAGGCTTGTATTAGTAAAATATTACGATTCAAAAATTACAGTTTCATGATCGAATAACACCAATTACGATGAAATATGATTATGAAAAGAACTTCAATCTTTTATCTCAATTTTCATTTGATACGAGCATAAAAGTTAATCACGGAATTATTTTTCAATATTGAGATATTGTAATCTTTGCAATGCTAAGAATTGTAAAAATTGTGTTCACACTCAAGATCTCTCGAAGATATCGAGTTAAAAATATATTTTGAAAAGATTTTGTCGAATTCTCGATACACTCAAATTCTTGCATATTTCTTGCAGAATTTTTCAGACTGAAAGAAAGAAATACGAGTATGTCAATAAAACAAAATATCTGCGTGACAGAAATCCATCGTATATCTACTGAATCTTGCAAATAAATCTACATCATACGAAAATCATTAATTTTCAAGTATGTATCGATGATTTGTTGAAATTTTTTTTCTTTCCTTTCTTTCTCCCAATTTACAGTACATTTCTTTAATGCTCCCCTCTTTTATCTTTTGAACAGGTCAACTCAAAAAATTGAAATTTTGGATAATGAAATTAATGCATGAATACTTTATTTCGAAGTGAAATTGACAGATGAAACTTTCAAGATGGCGCCTGGGCGCCATCTGATGAAAAAATTAAATGGAAAGGGGGGTTTTGTGATACACCCAACCCTAGAATATAATGTCAATATTTCTAACTACTACAAAATGGCTGGCGAAACTTTTAATAATTGTCTGAATACATCGACATTTAACTTCATAATATGAGATAATAAGCTTGACTTATGAACAGCCTATCCGACATTTCACGCCGAACATTTTCGAACACAGAAACGTCAATATCTCTACAAATATTCATTATTCTCTGCCGTATATCCACTATTGAAGNCTGGATGGAAATAGACAAAATTTTGAAATTGTACGCAACACACAAATCAAAATTGGGTTTGCAAATGTCAACACTGTGGACTGTGGGAAAGATTGAATTCAACAAAAAAACACAGACATCGATTAATATCCAATTAAACGTCATTAATAAAAGCAGTTGCAAGGATTGTTCGAAATGTTATGAAGAACAAACAGGACGTTACCTGAAAAACAGGTTATCGGAACGTGAAAAGGACACAAAAAAAATTTAATACTGTCATACCAACAGCCTTTGTAAGACACATAAGTTAAAATGACCAGAGCTTTGCGAACCCCCAATATTTTAGATGTCATGTGATTTCACAAATTTCATGTTTTCAGTCACTTATTCCCGTTTATTTGCGTACCTATGTTGTCTGTCGTATATATAACAACTTTTTCTACCAAGTTCAACTAAATTATTTTACTGTAAAACCCTGATTATGGTTTCGATAAAATCCCAAACGTTGGTAAAAAACCAAATTGTTCGTTCACGAAAGTTTTTGTTTCCTTTCCGATCCTATCTTTTTTTCGATGAGGAATCACCTCCTTAAATGTTTTACACTTATTCAGTTACACCCTGTATTTTTTTCTACCGATTTAGTTTGTCCGCCGAATTCTGAAACACTTTTTATAATTTTTAAGTGTCTTTCTATCGAAGAAGAATTTTTTCAGTTTATTTGGTTCATTATTGAAAAATATATTGACATAATTTCAATGAAAGGTAAATCTGGAATCTCTGGCGTAAAATAAATCCATTTAGTGTTTAGGAGCAGAGCTTATTTTAGATATTATTTCAATGAAAATTTGTTTTTCAGGCGAAATCAACTTCCCTGTTCACTTCTGCAAAAATGAGAAAATTTTTGGAGACTATGTCAAAGTGCGCAGATGAAATGGCAGCTAGTTTGGAACAGAATGCGATTGAAAACAGCGACGTGAAAATGCTCGAAGTTATGGCATGTTTTACAACTGATGTAATTGGTAAGAGCAATTTTTAAATGGTAAACAAATAATAAGACAAAAAGTTACATTGGAAATACATTTTATGGGTTGCGGTTTCCACCCCTTTCAGAACTACGAGGGTAGCCTGAAAAATTTCTGACCCAACAAAGACATTTTTTTTGATCTTTTATTATTTTTCAACTATACACACTTCTCTCAGCGATGTTCTTTTCTCTGTAACTTTTTCAAATAGACTTCCAAATAGACTCGGCGTTTTTCTCTGCAAAATAATTGTTCACGAAGGTGATTGCCTTTTCACTTGAGGAAGATCTCTCTCCAAAGAGCATTCCCAAAAATTAACCAGTGCCAGTGATAGTGTCAATGAACGTAGTGTTCGACGTGGGTTTGCGTAATTTAACTTCTGGAGATTTCAGCCTCGAAGATGAGCCTCGAAGTGGACGATTTACAGTAATCCAGGACGAGAATTTAGGAGCCTGGTAGAGACTGATCCATCACAAATGATGCGTGGGATGGTGGAACAACTGGGCGTCAGCTTCTATGTAGGTTTTGAAGGTTTAAAACGTAAAAAGCACGAAAAGTGTGTGCCCCACGATTTGAACGATGGACAGAAATTGTCACTCTTCAAAAAATGTTCTTTTTGGCTTTTGTAGAGCACGTAGAGCGTACCAATTGATTTTGCTCACTCGTAGTTGAAGATGAAATAGGCTCCTGAACATAAGAATATTCCAATGGATATACTGAAATATTTGGCTCTCCAGCTTCCTGAAAGAACTTTCCCTGTAAGTGACCGTCGATGGATAACTCTGGTATATTTTTACCATAAACGCTGGTGTTCCCAGGGAACCATATTGTCTTCAACCCTCTTTCTTCTGTATATCAACGACTTATTGAAAAAAAACATGAATCCAATATATTGCTTTGTTGACGATAGTACACATGTCTCGTCATTCCATTTGGATTCCAGGACATTGGCTACGGAGACACATCTTCACCGGCAGCAGGAGGTTGCATATCTTAATGAGCATCTAGAAGTGATTTCGAATTGGAGTGGAAGTAACCAGGTTCAATTCAATGCCACATATTGGCATCGGTTTTCTCCAAGTAGATAAATGTCTCCGAACCGGATAGAATAATGTCAGGTCAGACAATTCCGCTTTCTGCTTTCTGCTTTGATAGGTTTGTTGGGGGTTAAAATGGACACCAATATGTCTTGGCACAATCATGTCGCTGGAATTACGAAGGCTGTTTCTCAAAAGCTTGGAACACTCTTTCGAACCAGAAAACTGTACACACCTCAGCAACTTTTGATGCTTTATAAAGCTTAGATCAGACCTTCTTTGGATTATTGTTCTCATGTATGGAGCTCCACCCCCAAACATACCCTGAAGCTGCTGGATTCCATCCAGGAAAGAGCCAACCTTGATAGGCTGCAACATCTAAGAAAGGTTCGAGATTTGTCTCTCTTCTATAGATACTTTCACGGAAAGTGTTACAGTGACTTGCCACATTGATTCCACCAATAGCGGTACATATCAGAAATACGCGACGGACTGTGGCTGTTCATCGTTTCGAGGTTCAACTCAGTTCACCTCGAACTTCACTGTTCAAGAACTCTTTCATTTGGATAACTGTGTTTATGTGGAATAAACATCCTGACAACGTTTTCACAAATGGATTTAATCTCCAGCGATTCAAATCCGATGTGAATCACTACTTTCGCACATGCACCGCTCTAAGAGCAACTCAAGGATTTTTCTATAGTGCTTGTATTTTGTCCTTCAAAAAATTACCCCATGACCATCCAGAAAAATAGTCGCCATAACTTTCCTAGCATAAAAAACAGTTTTTGCTGTTTGGAGTCGGTTCTTTCTTTGCAGTCCACTGTTTGGACTGTATTTTTGTTTCGGGCGTATAATGGTGTGCCATCAACAGTAATTAATCAGCGCCAAAATTCGGATTTATTACTCCTAAACTGCGCCAACAGAGCTTTGTAGAAATAAAAGGTAGAATTAATGATATAAAAATGTTAAAGAAACAGTACAATATACAAGTATTCTCACCTGAATGCAAAATTACTATTTATTAACATTTAGAAGATCTACGAATTCTTGAATATTATAAAGCGGATTGTCAGCCAGTAGAGTTTTTACAAGCTTTTTGAATCTGTTAACGGTGGTATTTTTTATTTCCTTCGGCAGCAGGTTATAAAAGTAACTTCCTGCCCACTCTGGTGATTTTTTATACGAGAGGTGCTTGAAGCTTCTGAGATGTATATTCTCCTGTTTTCTCGTAGAGTATTGATGAAGATTTGAATTTTTTTGTAGGTTGATGATATTCCTATGTGTGTCTATCAATAATTTGAATAAATATATACCTGTTACGGTAAGAATTTTTTGAGATTTAGAAGTTGGTCTACACGATTCACGGTATTCCAGGCTATATATTAATCGAATAATGCGTTTCTGGATCATGAATACCCGGTTCCAACACTTTTTTTGACATGTTCATAATCTCTGTTATCTCTCTCACTTCAATTCGGCGGATGTCTAGCACCATCTGGTGAACTTTGGCGATGTTTCCGTCTGTAATTGCAATCCTAGTCCAATTGGACGTCCCGGACGTTTATCGTCCCCCAAGCTCTTAGGTAAGGTTACGTCCAACGTGAGTGGGTCCATTCGACCATCCACCGCAACCCACAAGGGTTTATTGTGGCTCACATTTTTTGACAATCTACCAAATGAACACAGCTTCTCAACGAAGCCGATTAGCCTGTATGGTGAGTGGTCTTTCAGGTCAGATGGTAAGAGCACGGCTCTACCGAACTCTCAAAACCTGATTTTATCCTCAGCGGGGTAGGCACAAGTATATGCTCTACTGTTTCATCGTTGATGAGGTAGTCAGAGAGTTAAGGTGTAAGATTCTCACCTTGATACCCGCGACAACCTTCCCATATGAGGGTTTTTGCACGTCAGCTACACCTGTCGTTGCCTTAGATTCAACCGTGCAGGGCTTTTTCGCTTCTGGTTTTGGTGAATCATCACTTGAGCGCAAACGTTTGTTAACCTGCTCATGAGGGGGGGGGTTGTTCCTCCACCTGAGACAGATTCTGTGTACGCCACTCAAGAATTTGGTGCAAGGCGGTTTTATAAAGTACCCCGCTGTTGAGGAGACGACTCAGTCGTTTCCTGGCTGCACCACTAAACCTTTTTTTTTAGGTTCATTTATTGAATCAGGAGTTGGTGTGTGGAGAAGATCTTGCTCCTGATCTAAATTTACAGGAAGGCCAGTTTGCTCGACATCCATCTCCTCTGTAGACTCAGGATCAGAAAGAATTTTTAAGTTTACTCTGTCCAAGAAAGTCCCACGAGTAGGTAGAGAAAGAAGGTTAATCGCGGCAGAGCCCCGCATTACCGTGACAAGGCGATGCTACGACGCAAAGGAGCCCGGTATCTCGAAGGTTCCGTAGAGACAGCTGATAGGCTCAGTGTCATTCATCTTCTCGGCACGAATACACACACCTCAGGATTAGGCTATCGTTGGGATGCCATTCAGTTAGGGAATAACAGAATCACAAGTGATACTGTCTTTCCCATATCCAGCGAGGCTACGTGGAAGCTGGCATCCGATGGCCGGTTTGCTCAACTCCCACATTCCAATCCAATGCACTCGCCAAAAACAGCATGCACAGTGGTTCAGGCAGTGAAAGATGAACAAGGACAGTGAATCCGCCTCTTCCAAGCTCTTATGGCCATGTTTAAATTCAGCTGCCCAAAATTTTACTGTGATAAATAATGGTGCAGAGTCCTCACACAGTAAACCAACTCATGTCGTGTTTTCATCTTTGAACTATGCAGATGTCCTTCATGGACCAAGCCTCACAAATAGGAACAAAGACTCCAAAAGATTCAAAACTGCTGCCTTCGCCTTATTCATGAGGTACGTAGAAGGAAGAGAATATCATCAAAGATGTCAAAAACTTGTTGGCAACGGAAGGTCACTACACTCAGCGTTTATCTAACGTAAGGTTATCTGCAATGAAATTCCGAATTATCTATTTAATTAAATTACATTTCGGACTGACGTACACAACTTAAATGTACGCCACAAAGGTTATTAACTCCTTCGATACACACTCATGAATTTTTCAAGTGATTATTTACGTATCAGATATGCAACGCTTATAATAAACTTCTTTCTCATTCAAAACATTTTTAAATAGGTAATTTTAGGCAAAAATTGAACTACTAGGTGAAGAAAGTTGACTACTCAATAACACTGGTCTACAGTGGTTTTTTTGCCCTAGATTATAATATTGATTTTGGGTGTATTTATACTTACAATTCATGAAATTATCAATGGTTTTGTAAGATTTGCTCTCGTTTTATTTTAAATATTTATTTTCATTTTACATTACAAAAATTCGAAAACAAGAAACAAAATAACAGATATATTTATAATCTCAGTTTTATTTGGAAAAAAATATGATACT